AGGAGGAAGGGTCTGTGTTTCTAATTTATTCTGCCCCCCCTCCAGTTGTTACTTAAAATAATCCATCATTACATGGCTGGTGGCTCCAAGATTTTTATTTAAAGCAATATGGAGAGAGGGGGGAAAAAAAAGAAAACCCACACAACCCGTGACTGTGCTATCTTGGATTTAAGCTGAGAATCTTTAACATCAGTCTTCAGGTCACTCAAGTATACTCTTCTCTGACCCCTGTGAGGGTACTGAGGGGTACAGGGAGAAGAGGGGGAAGAGAAGGCCTGGCAGGATTTTAATTTCTTAGAAACATCTGGAAAAGGTGAGCATTTTTTAAAAGGGAATCTGTGTCATCTAGCATTGTTTCATCCATTGACCAGCATTAACACTTTGGACTAAGTCACTTGATCTCCCTACATGCATAAAATGAAGAAAACAGTAATACTTTTCTAGAAAGCTGTTGGAGAAAATGATATCATACAGATGGAAGCATTTTGAGACAGTTAAAAGAAACATGTTACTTCTATCCATGGTGTATCTTCTCTTCCTTCCTTCCTTCTCTTTCTTTTTCTTCCTTTCTTTCTTTTCTTCTTTCTTTCTTCCCATCTATCTTTAATGTAGTTTTAAAGTACATGCAACCAAAAGGCCTTCTCAATTGTTCATGCTAATATTAAACCATGGCTTTGCTAATCCAGCAATACAGGCAAGTCCAGAAATCAGTTCTATTTAGTTTTGGAATACCTTTTTCCAGGGGACTTATCTCCCTAATTAGTTTTGCTCAGGCTAATACAATGGGTTTGTTCCCTTATACCACATAAAGGGAGGGGCCGTGCTGGGTAACAAAGCCAGCAATTAATAGAAAATGTACAGCAGAGACTCCACAAAGTAAATGCTATGCATATGACTGCAGATCAAAATCTCATTACACTATACAGACAAATCACTCTACTGTAATGCAGTTTTGTAATAAGCACACTGCTAACACATTTCCAGGATTTAGAATGTGAAGAGGAAACCGGGCTTCTTCCTACCTCTCCTCTGGAAGCTCTGGAGGGCAGAGTTTCTGCTTGCTTTGGCCACCACTCTATCCCAGCATCTGGCACAGGGCCTGACAGAGTCAGTGCCCAATAAATAAATGTTGAAAGAATGAATGAAAATAACAGTGGGTGAATTAACAAATGAAATGTTCCCAACCTAGTGGCAGAAGTGTGATCTCACCCATCTTCGCACCTGCCCATTTCCTATTTGAAGCCTTTCTTGTCACCCACCGCTTCCATCCACACTGCTGGATTAAGACTACTTGTAATGAATCCTCATGGCAGGAAGTAGCTCTGGGCAGCACTTAGCACAATGATAATTATATAGAGATTTGTGTCTACCTCTACCACTAGATGTGAACTCTCGAGGGAAAGAGGCCATGTGCATTTGGGGGGCACTATAATGGTCCCCCAATTTTTTATTTTGGAAAATTTCAAACACACAGAAAAGTTGGAAAATGGTATAGTGATTTCCCATTGGCCTTCAACTTAGATTGGACAATTTTTAATATTTGGAGCCATGTGAACTTTCTTCACTGCTATATCCCTAGTAGAGCTATAGGTGAATGTTGGGGTCCTGTTTTTCCTGCTCAAAGAACAATATTACCTTTGGTGAGTAGGGATGGCTGAGGCAGGAAGCTTCAAGGAGAATCAAAAGGTAACTTCCACCTGACAGCAAAACCAGAATGCAGCAGCAACCTCTTCCTCATTGGTGGGCAGTTGTTCTGGGACAGTTGCCCTAGGCCAACCGAGGTAATTTTGTAGGGCAAAGTTAGGCCCTACAAATTCTTTCATTGGGGAGAAAGACCTTTACCCAGATTGTCACCGGGAAAAGCAACATTGTTCACATTGTGGGATTGGTTCCAGTGAGAATCAACCAGACTATTCTTCCTGTGGTCAGTACCTACAGCGCCCACCCCTAATGCAACTCTGAAAGAAATAACTCAGTATACGAGGTAGGAGTTGCTGCTTTTGGAACCTGCACTGTGTCTTGTTAGATTACCCTGGACAAGTCATGTGACCTCTCAGTGTATATTAATAGCAGCCCAAGCCACCTCAGGCAGGAGGTGGAGGTGGAGCACCTCAAGGATCTTTTATAATGCTCTCATTATCTCAGTATCTACAATTTGTCTCTCTAATTAGACAGGAAGCTACCTTTTTTGGTAGCCTACCACCTTTTTTTGAGGGGGTATAGTTGACAAGGGCCACCCATCATATTAGACACATTAGTCATACAAATAAATATTCATGGACACAGCAGAGAAATAGCGCTGTCATACAGAATCCTTTGTGGTGTTCATTCAAATGGGATGGAATTGAATTATGCACACAAGAATTGAACTTCCAAGTTGCATGCTTGGCCAAATAAAGGTACTAGCCAACAACAACTCTCCAGCCTGTTTAATCACAATGACCCTCAACTGACCCTGGAAAGAACACCCAAACACATACACACACACACACACACACACACACACACACA